CCGATTTGCCTAATAAGCCAAGTTTTCATGAATTAATTGTTTTTCGACTACCTAACCTAACCTAACTTTTTCGGTTACCTAACCTAACCTAACCTATAAAGATAGGTTAGGTTAGGTTAGGTAGGGTTGGTTAGGTTCGGTCATATATCTACGTTAATTTTAACTCCAATAAAAAAAAATTGACCTCATACATAATGAAATGGGTAGCTCTATCATTTCATAAGAAAAAAAATAGAGAAAATATATTAATTCAGGAAAACTTGGCTTATTAGGCAAATCGGGCCTTGCATAGTAGGATGAGAAGTGCGTTCTGGCTACTAGGTACGACATATATATATATATATATATATATATATATATATATATATATATATATATATATATATATATATATATATATATATATATATAACTGAAAACTCACACCCCAGAAGTGACTCGAACCCATACTCCCAGAAGCAACGCATCTGGTATGTACAAGACGCCTTAATCCACTTGACCATCACGACCGGACATAATGAGGTGATAGCCGAGGCTATTTGAACCACCCCACCGCCGGCACTCGGATAGTTATCTTGGGCATAGCATTTTACCAAATCACCTCATTCTTTGGGGCAACACGTGAGGAACACAAATGCGAACAAGCCTGAATGGTCCCCAGGACATATGCAACTGAAAACTCACACCCCAGAAGTGACTCGAACCCATACTCCCAGAAGCAACGCATCTGGTATGTACAAGACGCCTTAATCCACTTGACCATCACGACCGGACATAATGAGGTGATAGCCGAGGCTATTTGAACCACCCCACCGCCGGCACTCGGATAGTTATCTTGGGCATAGCATTTTACCAAATCACCTCATTCTTTGGGGCAACACGTGAGGAACACAAATGCGAACAAGCCTGAATGGTCCCCAGGACATATGCAACTGAAAACTCACACCCCAGAAGTGACTCGAACCCATACTCCCAGAAGCAACGCATCTGGTATGTACAAGACGCCTTAATCCACTTGACCATCACGACCGGACATAATGAGGTGATAGCCGAGGCTATTTGAACCACCCCACCGCCGGCACTCGGATAGTTATCTTGGGCATAGCATTTTACCAAATCACCTCATTCTTTGGGGCAACACGTGAGGAACACAAATGCGAACAAGCCTGAATGGTCAAATAGCCTCGGCTATCACCTCATTATGTCCGGTCGTGATGGTCAAGTGGATTAAGGCGTCTTGTACATACCAGATGCGTTGCTTCTGGGAGTATGGGTTCGAGTCACTTCTGGGGTGTGAGTTTTCAGTTGCATATGTCCTGGGGACCATTCAGGCTTGTTCGCATTTGTGTTCCTCACGTGTTGCCCCAAAGAATGAGGTGATTTGGTAAAATGCTATGCCCAAGATAACTATCCGAGTGCCGGCGGTGGGGTGGTTCAAATAGCCTCGGCTATCACCTCATTATGTCCGGTCGTGATGGTCAAGTGGATTAAGGCGTCTTGTACATACCAGATGCGTTGCTTCTGGGAGTATGGGTTCGAGTCACTTCTGGGGTGTGAGTTTTCAGTTGCATATGTCCTGGGGACCATTCAGGCTTGTTCGCATTTGTGTTCCTCACGTGTTGCCCCAAAGAATGAGGTGATTTGGTAAAATGCTATGCCCAAGATAACTATCCGAGTGCCGGCGGTGGGGTGGTTCAAATAGCCTCGGCTATCACCTCATTATGTCCGGTCGTGATGGTCAAGTGGATTAAGGCGTCTTGTACATACCAGATGCGTTGCTTCTGGGAGTATGGGTTCGAGTCACTTCTGGGGTGTGAGTTTTCAGTTGCATATGTCCTGGGGACCATTCAGGCTTGTTCGCATATATATATATATATATATATATATATACATATATATATATATATATATATGTATATATACACGTGCGTATCAACCCTGGCTAACACCTACATTAACCTCAGTGTTGCACAACCAGGTGGCGCTGCCACCCACAGGGAAGCAGCCAAATCCCGTAAGTATAGAGAACTGGATCACCACTACAATTTTGTCCCCATTGCTTCTGAGACACTCGGCGCCTGGGGTAAAAGTGCTACCAGTTTTTTGAAGGAACTGGGGTCTAGGCTCATTGAAACAACAAGGGACCCTAGAGCTGCCAGCTTTCTTTTCCAGCGCCTCAGCATGGCGATACAGAGGGGAAATGCGCACTGCATCCAGGGTTCCTGCCCGCCATCTGAGGAGCTGGAGGAACTCGACAACCTATGATAACCATCTTTGTAACCTATATGTAACTCCTTTTTTGTAACAAAGTTCAAATAAAGCAAATATATATGTGTATATATATTATATATATATATATATATATATATATATATATATATATATATATATATATATATATATATATATATATATATATATTATATAAGTTATATATATTATATATATATTATATATATCTATATATTATATATATATTATATATATATATATATATATATATATATATATATATATATATATATATATATATATATATATAACTAATTAGCATCAGAAGTTGGTATATTGGGAGTCATAACGTGATAAAATCTCAAATATTCAGGTGATTAAATCATCAACATTTGTGTCCCAGAAAGCTGAGACACAAATACCCAAATAATTAACAAAAATCATTGATAAAAGTGTACAATTATCATCATACCAACACGAAGAAAAGTTATAGGTGAAAATATCTTGAAACACTATGTGAATATATTGTTATGTCGTAGTAATGATAACGCTGGAGACCAAATATACATGTGTAAATGAAAACACAAAAATTATGATTATGTAAAAGGTGTAGTGAGGCTGATGTATATATACAACCAAAATGAGATAGTTGAAAAAAAAGATATGGAAAGTACGTATGGAACACACTGCATCTTGAGGACGGCAGAGCTAGGACGGGAGTCAGAATTTACCATTATGTAAATTCAATAGCGGATTCTATGCATATTTCCATGAAACTAAATTCAGTCAGCTGGTCCAACTTTCCCTATAGAAGGCCCCGTTTTTCTTTCTTAATAATCAACTACATTAAGTATACAGTGTAGCCATGGGATCTTGAGGCCGACCCTCCGTTAGCTAATATATTTTAATGAAAATAAGAAAATTTCGTTTCATTACCATTTATATTTTAAACCTGTATTTAATCAAAGATATGATGATGATCATTTTTTGTTGCTCGATGATATGTTTCTCATATACAATTTAATTGCTATCTGTAATCTAAACCTCCTAATATAACATTTCTGGCTAAAACATAAACTTGATAGGAAGTTGCCCATTTTGTTTTATTTGCTTCAGCATTGTTTAGGGTGCAACCTGTTATCTTACAAACAACGTCGCTTTTCGATCGAATGCGTTACATAAGGCCAACATTTGCCGTACTAGAAAATGGAAGCTGCTTGCGAAACTGACGTACTGTCCCGTTTTCTGTTTTGGGTCCTCTGGCAGGTTAGGAGAGGACACTTTAAATTTTTCGTTTTCTTGACGTTGGGAAACCTTAGGAGGACGGGCTGAGGGTGACTTCTGAGAGAGCTTTGATTAAAGGGTTTTATTTACACTTTTTCAGACTAATTCTCATTTGACTTAGAAATTAGATTTTTGAACATCTTTTTAAAAAAAATTATTATTATTTTGCTCTTTGACAGGATGCTCGTGGCCAATTAAAATTGTATCTTTACCCATTCCTTTAATTATCTTATTATTTTGTTATTTTAAATTTGTTTTCAATTGCCTCATTATATATATATATATATATATATATATATATATATATATATATATATATATATATATATATATATATATATATATATATATATATATATATATATGCGAACAAGCCTGAATGGTCCCAGGACTATATGCGACTGAAAACTCACACCCCAGAAGTGACTCGAATCCATACTCCCTGGAGCAACACAACTGGTAACTACAGGACGCCTTAATCCGCTTGACCAACACGACCGGACATAAGGAAGTGATAGCCGAAGCTATTTGAACCACTTCCCCGCCGGCACTCGGATGGTAATCTTGGGCATAGCATTTTATCAAATCACCTCATTCTTTGGGGCACACGTGAGGAATTTGTTCGCATTTGTGTTCCTCACGTGTGCCCCAAAGAATGAGGTAATTTGATAAAATGCTATGCCCAAGATTACCATCCGAGTGCCGGCGGGGAAGTGGTTCAAATAGCTTCGGCTATCACTTCCTTATGTCCGGTCGTGATGGTCAAGCGGATTAAGGCGTCCTGTAGTTACCAGTTGTGTTGCTCCTGGGAGTATGGGTTCGAGTCACTTCTGGGGTGTGATTTTTCAGTCATATATATATATATATATATATATATATATATATATATATATATATATATATATATATATATATATATATATATATATATATATATATATATATATATATATATATATATATATATATATATATTTTGAACTGTATTGTTCAGTTCATAAACAATACAGTTCACAGTTCATGAACTGTATTGTTCATGAAATGTGTTTGTTTTTTCAAGCTGCAATATGCAGACGAATGAAATTATCGTATTATAGTTTGATGTAGTGACAAGGATACCTTATTTCAGTCTGCCATAGTAACTGGGGGGTATCGTATTGTAGTCAGTCGTAGTACCATGGGTATCGTACTGTAGTCTGTAATAGTAACAAGGGTAGAGCATTGAAATTTGTCGTAGGAGCAAGGGTTGCGGATTATAGTCCGTCGTAGCAGCAAGGGTATCTTACTGTAGAATGTCGTAACAACAAGGGTATCGTATTGTAGTGTGTCGTAGCAGTAAGTGTGTCGTGTCAAATCTTAGAAGATAATCCCCCTGGGTAACGTACAAGCAAGACAATGGGACGGGTCGCCCAAAACATGTAAGTAATATTAGCCAGAATAGGCTTCTTTTAATCCATTTTTATAGGGCTAATAAGAGAAACTAGCACGATCTTGTCTCTTGTATAAAATTAATAGTAAACTCCTTGAATGAGCAAATTATCTCCTCAGGCTAGTGAGAAGGACACTAGTTTGCCGTTGCAGTACAGCTGCGGACAGCACTCGGGATAAGGTCGACCTTCAACTCTCACGATGTAACAGTTCTCAGAGTAGAGAGGTGGCGGCTCAGAGCATCTGGAAAATATTAAATATAAGATTTAGACACAAACATGAACAACTCACATTGTAAATATGAGAGCACTGTTCTTAAAGCAAATTAGTGGTTGAACATACAAAAAGATACTTGAACTCTTCAAAAGTTTACGCATTGTACAACTGGAAAGCTTCAAATGGCAGGCTATTTATGCAATCTATCAATTAGTATACAGTAGAGTACACAAATAGGCTTCAGTGAACTATTAGAAAAAGTTGTAACATTTCTATACTATAGCTGGATCAGTATTAGCTAGTGTTATATGCAGACAATGAGTCACAATAACATGGCTGAAGATATGATCCAAACCTCACATCAGTAAAATATAGAAACGACGTTTCGATCCGTCCTAGACACGACTTCATAATAATCCCGGCCGAACCGAAACGTCGTCGTTTCTTAATTTTTATGCGTAGTTAGGATATTATACAGTTATATAATATTCTAGATGGATTGGCTGGCATGGTCACCCATGAATCTTAACTATATTTGGCTTAATATAAATGGGAGTCACAGATTTGGGGACACTCATTAGTTAAAACTACGTTATACGAATAGTTCAGTAATTTATGTAGTTATTCCTCGAGTGGGATGTGCCTCTCAACCTCGGGAACCCGTCGTGATGCATGTAGGTGGTGAGGAGGAGGTGGCACCTGTCCAGGTGTAAGTAGGAGGTGGCACCTGTCCAGGTGTAAGTAGGAGGTGGCACCTGTCCAGGTGTAAGTAGGAGGTGGCACCTGTCTAGGTGTGAACGCTTTTCCTAGGTTTATCACCTGCCACTTTCTATTCCCAAGTCATATGAGATAGACAACTTAACATAATGATCTGAAGAAATCTAGGTACAGTTTATACAACATATAGAAGTTTATCTAAATATTTTGGTTTATATATATTTACAATTCAGATTGTTTACTAAAGAATTGCTGCCATGCCTAGCAACTTCCACAGAGCTGCTGTCATGGATAGCAACTACCATAGAGCTGCTATTATGGCTAACCAGTCACACAGAGCTACTATCATGGATAGCATCTCACACAGAGCTGATGCTACAGCTAGCCACTCCCACAGAGCTGCTGCCATGGTTAGCCACTCCCACAGAACGGCTGCCATGGCTAGCCATGCCCCACAGAACGGTTGCCATGGCTAGCCACTCCCACAGAACGGTTGCCATGGCTAGCCACTCCCACAGAACATTTGCCATGGCTAGCCACTCCCACATAACGCTGCCATGGCTAGCCACTCCCACAGAACAGTTAACATGGCTAGCCACTCCCACATAACGCTGCCATGGCTACCCACTCCCACAGAACAGTTGCCATGGCTAGCCACTCCCACATAACGCTGCCATGGCTAGCCACTCCCACAGAACAGTTGCCATGGCTAGCCACTCCCACATAACGCTGCCATGGCTACCCACTCCCACATAACGGTTGCCATGGCTAGCCACTCCCACAGAACGGCTGCCATGGCTAGCCACTCCCACAGAACGGCTGCCATGGCTAGCCACTCCCACAGAACTGTTGCCATGGCTACCCATTCCCACAGAACGGCTGCCATGGCTAGCCACTCCCACAGAACGGTTGCCATGGCTACCCACTCCCACAGAACTGTTGCCATGGCTACCCATTCCCACAGAACGGTTGCCATGGCTAGCCACTCCCACATAACGGTTGCCATGGCTAGCCACTCCCACAGAACGGCTGCCATGGCTAGCCACTCCCACAGAACGGTTGCCATGGCTAGCCACTCCCACAGAACGGCTGCCATGGCTAGCCACTCCCACAGAACGGCTGCCATGGCTAGCCACTCCCACAGAACGGCTGCCATGGCTAGCCACTCCCACAGAACTGTTGCCATGGCTACCCATTCCCACAGAACGGCTGCCATGGATAGCCACTCCCACAGAACGGTTGCCATGGCTACCCACTCCCACAGAACTGTTGCCATGGCTACCCATTCCCACAGAACGGTTGCCATGGCTAGCCACTCCCACATAACGGTTGCCATGGCTAGCCACTCACACAGAACGGCTGCCATGGCTAGCCACTCCCACAGAACGGTTGCCATGGCTAGCCACTCCCACAGAACGGCTGCCATGGCTAGCCACTCCCACAGAACGGCTGCCATGGCTAGCCACTCCCACAGAACGGCTGCCATGGCTACCCATTCCCACAGGATGGCTGCCATGGCTACCCATTCCCACAGAACGGCTGCCATGGCTAGCCACTCCCACGAGCTGCTGCTATGACTAGCCAGTTGACTACTCGTTAGGGGACACGTAGGTTGAAGGGAGGACAAAGTGATGACAACAGTGCAACTAAACACCATGATTAGAGTACTCTTTACTTTTGGATAATGCTCAGCTTTTTACGGCATTATTGAATCTGACAAATACACGCCATCACCACCCTTCATCTCCCTCTGCCTCCCCTTCTATATGCTCAGACGAACACATCCTCCTGAAATGTATTAATAATACTTATAGTAACTATTTGGTCGAAAGTTGTAATATGTAGTGAGGGACCAGCAGTAAACCACTTTTTGTACTATTAATTGCATAAAGTTCGGAAAAAATGAGCTAAAAACCACACAAATATCCGTGTAATAAGAATAGCCTAAGGCCTGAAATAGCGTGTAATAGCCATAGGGGTTGCTAAGAGAGGTCAGGTCTTATATTTGTTGCGGTGAAAAAGTTTCCGGTTTGATAAATTCAGTAATACAAAAGTCAACTGTCTAGTGGTCCATCACTACATACCGGTATTTTCGATCAAATAGTTACTATAAGTAATTTCATTTTAGGAGGATGGCCTGGCTTTGATAATACTGTATCTCTCATTTTTTTTAAATTCGTACTTCCCAATGACGGTACATTTAGCGGCTGCAGAGCCTATGTGCATTTTATACTGTACGGTAGTTGCCTAACTATAAATTAGGCATTAGCCTAACCTAACCTCTCTCAGGCATAATGAGCAATCCTAGGCCTAATAAAGTACAAATATGTACTATAATAGGCCAATGATATGTTAGCTTAGGCTTAATATTGGCTATATTTGGCCTAGAATATTTTGTTAACGGGAATGAACTTCTATTTTTGTAAGACCTTAGCCTAGCAACAGTACAAATTTTGGATATTTTGTGGTGCCACAGTCCACATTGTGCAGGCGTGTTCCGCACAATGACCGTACAGTACACAGCGAACGACAGTCACTGTGTACTGTCGTTCTGGACGATGAGTTTCACTCTCTAAACATTACCCGAAACGCTGTACGTATTAGTGGCTTTAAGCATAATATATACTAGCTTTATCTAGAAATCCAATATTCTGCTTGTAACTCAATATGTATGTATGTACTTTTACCTATATAAATAATTTATTTATTTATTTATTTATTTATTTATTTATTTATTTATTTATTTATTTATTTATTATGAAGTCATTAAATGTGAAACATTATCTCGAAATGAAGTGTTCTCTCACAATGATGCTTCTCGACACTGCTGGGTGCAGAGACCCTCATACCCGCCTGTGTGCACGTGGAGGTAGAAGCATATGAACACATGCATAAATGAAACTGCAGAAGGTCTAATGGCTCAATGGATGCAGCTCCTACCTGGTGCGCTTCTCTAGGAGGGTGCCGTTGGAGGCGAGGACGCAAGTGGCCTGCTGGCAGGTGTCGTCCACAGTCCAGCTCTCCCCCTTGGCCCGGAGTGAACAATGGTCCGCGTCGTAGCACTTCCCGCTGTGATCTGCAAATATTAAGTACATTATACCCGGGGTGTACTAGTTGGGTTTTTAATGTGGGTCATATAACATGATTTGAACGCTGTTCACAAACACACTTGTCGATTGAAATAAGGGTAAAAGGGATTGCTGCGAGCATGATGACCAAGATATTGACTAGACCTAGAATCAGTTCACTGAAAGATATAATCACTGGAGCACTAACTCTGGACAGAAGAGCCTCCAATAGCAACAGGTGGACCCATTGTGCGATAAACACCATCAATACATTCGATATAACAAACACAATCACTGAGAAGGGTGTCGACGAAATACATGCAGACTTTGTTATGCAAGCCCCTTGGGAATCTCCGCCAGCAGATTTTAAGATTATGGTTCTTGAAGGGAAAAAGAACCAGAAAAATCCTCATCTGCTACGTAATATTGCACAGATGCATAAAAAAGCAAACTTGGCATCCGACAGCTTCACTTACTTCACAGATGGATCAGTAGACCAGCAGGGACAAGAAACCGGAGCTGCAATTAAACCAGGAAACTTTGTAAATAATTGGAGACTCTCAAATGGGTGTTCGACTTTACAAACAGAGATGCTAGCCATTCAAATGGCTTTGGAACATGCTCTTGCTGAACACCGACAACATGTTATGATACATACAGATTCAAGAACCGCCATTGAAACCTTGCAACAAGAACACATATGTGATAACATCCATCTGATCACAAATGTCATATCATTTATGCAAACACTCAAACGACAAGGCCGTCGGGTACTTATCAACTGGGTGCCAAGTCATGTGGGAATAGTAGGAAATGACATTGCAGACGAAACTGCAAAACTTGCAACTAAGAGAAGAAATGTAGACATTTACATACCACAGAGTCTATCACAGATTAAGAAAGTAATTAGAAACAACAATGCAAAAGATGTACAGTGACCACAACACAGCAGTTGCAACATCAGGATCTGCGGTTGGTACAAGAATTCAACCAACTACGAACCACTTAGTTTGATGAAAGGGAGCAGTAGAACAACAGAAGTACACTTACATCGCATCAGGCTTGGATACCCATGTGCATGGGAAATAGGCTTACAGGTTCCGGAAGATGAGAGGAAATGTCAACACTGTGGAGAAATGCCCGACAGACCACTGGAACATTATCTAACACAGTGCACAGTTACAAACCCATTAAGATTTCAACTCCGATTCAACAGAGCAGAAGTTGTTAAACACATATGGCAAAATCTTTCTGAAGCGACCATACGAGTCATAAATACTCATACTCCACCCAAGTAAAACAGAAACAAGCAACACTTAGTGGGCCAGCCAGAGGCTTCGGACCCGCGCAGGAATATCCCTGAAAAAAAAATAACTTGGTTATTTAGGCTACCAGAAAACAAATTTCGGCAATTGTCCTAATTACATTAAGCCAGTTGCAACATTACTATTCAAAATATGGATAGACCACTTCTCAGTCGTCTATCCATCTTTTAAGATGGCACATGTTATGATCCTCGGTCCAGTTATAACATTCATCCTCACGTATGTTAAGCGTTATTTTCCCCTCAGATACCTCTGGATGGGCTCAGATTTCTTTTTTATGTTGAAAGGCAAACCAGCAGTTATATTGTGGAGAATATGTATATCTAAAGTTCAGTGGTCAGAATTTGTATTCAGAAACTTAAAAAAAAATGGCGAGTAAGGGGGACTAATCTGGAAGAAAGGGGAGGGGGGGGGGGGGGGGGAGAACGTCACCGGTAACCATAGGACTCAAGCATTCACGCAGCTACTTACAACCTGTATGCCCTAGCATATGGGAGTCTGGCCCTAGCTTCGGTGCGGGGCGGACGTGTTGAATCGGCGCTCCAGCAGTTTGGTGTTGTTTGCCCGTTTCGGCCGGTGGGGGGCGGGTGTGTGTCTGCTCGCCTGTGCTGACGTGGCGTTACGATGGGGGTCCCTCTACCCCCAGTCGTCCGGGCTCAGTCTGTGGGACTAGAGTTCTCTGTGCGGGCTGGTTACCCGGAGATTGCCCTGGCTTGTGAACTGCTCTCTGTCCCTGTGTTTGCGATTTATGGGGTAGAGTTGGTAACGGCCCGTAGGGCCATTGTGAAGTTTGCAGAGGAGGCGGCGTATCGCGATTTTCTCCGGCGATACGAGGGGCGGACGCTGCCCCTGCCGGATGGTGCGGGCACTGTCACCCTCTCGGATAGAAGTGGTGCACTTACTTACATCAGTGTGCATGGGGCTCCCTTGGAGTTTCCAGAGGCTCTGCTACGGCGGTATTTCGGGCGGTTTGGCGCAGTTGTTAGTGTGAGAGTGAACGTGGTGTCTTCTAGTCCTCTTAAGGGTGTGAGGTCTAACATTCGCACCCTGGGCATGAGACTCCGGGCGGATATTCCGTCCTCTGTGCGCCTTATGGGGTTCAACGTTCGGGTGTTTTACGCCCGTCAGCCGCGGACGTGTTATCGTTGTGGTCTTTTGGGCCATCAGGCTGCTGACTGTTCTGCGCCTCCTGTTGCACCAGTGAACCTCTTCAGTGAGGAGGATTTCCCGCCCCTTCCTGTGGGGGATGATTCGGTGGGTATGGACGTCTCTTCGGCTGAGGAGGTGCCCTCTGTAGCAGCTGTTGCTCCGCCTGTTGCGCCCCCTGTTGTTGCCGCATCTCCTCCGGAGGTTGTGTCCTCGCCTAGTGCTCCAGCTGGTGTCCCTGAGCCTCTTCCGCCTGCCGTTTGCTCGGTCCCCTCGTCTTCCAGTTCTTCCTCTGCTGTGTCTGTCCCGGTCCCTGCACCCTCGCCGTCTGTCCCGGCTGTGCTGGGAGCTGAGGTGGATCCGGAATTCCCTCCTGTGCCTGGCCTGGTGCCCCGTGTGGTTGAGGAGGCTGCCGTGCTGCGGCGTGCGTCGGTTCGCTCGGTTGGTGCTGCGCGGGTCGCTGAGTCTGCCTCCGGGTCTGATGATGTGCGGCCCGAGCCTAAGCGTTCCCGGCGTTCTTCTGTGTGGGCTGATGTTGGCGACTTCGACGAGTGTCGTCCTTCCGTTGACGGTGGCGTGGCTCCGGATGTGGTGCACACTACGGTGGTGGCGGAGGTACACTTGCCTGAGGATGCCGGTGCCGGCGTTTCGGCCTCAACCTCTGGTCCGGTGTCCGAGGGTCCTGCGTCGGATGGCTCCGGTTCTTCGTGGGCGGTGGTTCCCCCTGCTGTAGTTGGTGGTGAGCGGGGTGGCCTGGTGGTGATGTTGAGAAAGGATGCTCGCTCTGGATGTTCTGTGGCCCCTTCCTCGTTACCCGTTTCCTCGGCAGCGGTCTTGCCGCCTCTTCCGTTTCCTGCAGTCCCTTCCGTGTCTCCTGCGGTATCCGTGGAAGTGCTGTCGTCTCAGCGTCCGACACCTGCTCCGATGGCGAAGGCGTGGCAGGCTCGGCGTCCCTCGTCCGCTTCTCCGGTGTCATCTGCTTCCTCGAAGGGCGTGGTTGGCGCTCCCCAGCCTCGTTATGCGACTTGCGTCAGTGACCTTAGGCTTTGGCCGATGCCGCCAGATATAGATGTTCCCGAGTTTATGATACCCGCTCGAGCGCGGGGGATCAAAAACCCTACCGACCTTGAAGATCTCGTCTGGGAAGCTTACAAGTCGAAATATCCTCGTGAGCAGTTCCCGGAGAAGTACATTTCTTACGAGGTTCCTCGCAAGTGATTTCTATGTATTTTGTGTTGCCTGGTTGTGGGGTGTGTATGTGGGTGGGTGGGGTGGGTATTGTTTCCCGGTTCCTGCGTGCTCCGGTTTGTTTTGGTTTTTTTTTTTTGTATGGCTCGTGGGGGGGTGTGCGGATCCTATGCGTTAGTGTGTTCGGTTATGGATGTCGTGTGCACTTGTTTTTCATATTGTGTGCCCTTCAGGCTGTTGGCGTGTGCTCTTTATGTTTTGCCTTCCGTTTGTTATGGCGGATCTGTTTTCTTTATTGTTATTGTCCTTATTCTTGTATGTTTCTCGCCTCTCTGTATGTATTTGAGGTGTTAGCAGGCTTGTTTTGTGTGCATTTTGTCCTGGGGTTTTCCCTTATGTTTGTTTTACACTGTGTTACTAATTGTGTATTGTTTGTATATGCATTTTTTTGTGGTCAGCCCTTCTGGCTGGTCTTCTATTGATTTGTTCCTTTGTCCTTGTACATATGTGTGCTTTGTACTTTGTTCTATGTTATATTTGTTCTGTTTTTCTTGTACGTTCTACGCATGCTTGCATGTAAAAAAAAAAAAAAAAAAAAAAAAAAAAAAAAACTTACAACCTGTACATTGTTTCTCAATCTTTGGCGGCTTTGCTTACATTTATTAAACAGTTTATGATCACTGAAACTTCCCAGTCAGATGTTATTTTATTTTATTTTTATTTATTTACTTATACAAAAGTTCTTACATTCTTGTAAATAATGTAAACACTCGCCCGGCAATCACGAAGCGCCGAGCGAGTACTTTACCACTACGCCACGATTACTTGTATTGTTGTCATAAACAGCCTCCTATTGTTTCGGAGCTCATGAATTGTTTATATAAACAAAGCCGCCAAAGATTTAGAAAAAAATGTACAGGGTCGCAAGTGTTTGATGAATGTAGGTCCAAGAGAGGTTGGGCTGTGACGAAGGCTGAGAGGCAGCTGTGATCGGTTGAGTCACTCGGGTGGTGGAAGCGGAAGGAGTAGGCTGCATTTCGAGCTTCTGGTCATTACCATGCCTAGTTTTGATCTTTAATGATCGTAGTCGACTCGCTAAATGGTGAGGAATTGTTAAGGCAAGCTAGTATGAGAGGAAGAACTGACCACTGTACCGTAGGCTGCTCGAGAGCGACATGCAAGACAAGAAGTTATGGGCACACGACGTCAAGCGCCATTCGTAGTAGCCATTTTGAATTCACATTTTGACTAAGAGTGCATAGTAAAGAAGGCGGCATTAGGTGTGCCCTGAGGGAGGACACCTGTGTATGTCAAGCCCAATACCTAGGGTCGCGGTTGTCTTGACAGAG